TGATATACAGAGTGGCAGCTCTGCACACATATTTCCCTGATGTTGCCATTGGATATTCAGACAGAAATGGATGTTGTCAGGCCTGTGTGTGTGATTTTTACGACAATCTTTTAAGTCTCAAGAGGAATTTCAGCTTCATCTTTTGTCTTTGCTAACCACTCTGCCCATACAAAACATGTACTGACCTACATTATTTTTATTGTTTTTCTCTATATCTTAATGGTTTTTTTTGGTTATTTGTATGTTTGTTTGTTTGTTGCATGAAAAAAGGTTTTAAAATTGGCAGAAAAGACCCAGAAACTATAACGTTATAGGCTAATTTGAGACATCTGCACTAACATCAAGTGCAACTTGTAGGATATACATTTAAAAAGATATAATAAATAAGACTTAACGCCAAGCAAAGCTACATGTCAGACCACACACTGACTTGCATTCAAATTACATAAGTTAGCATGTGTTTGTAGTACGTGATGCTAATGTATTTACAGTAGCAATGAAAAACATGCTGGATTATTTAATTTTTAGCATTAGCAAGGTTTAGCATTTTAGCATGCTAACATGCTAATATCAACTGATTTACAGTAGAAGCCGAAATAATTATAATTTCCAACGCAGAAACTGAGGACAATAGTTCTTAAAATGTCATTTAAGTTTCTTTTCTAGCACCTACTGTGGCGTACAGAGGAAACCAGGCTGAGATATGAGCTTTCACTGGGCCATTGATTCTTTTCTTTTTCAGCCATGCTGTTGTAGATTTGCCAGTGTTTGGGATCATTGTCCTGTTGTATGACCCAATTTGGACCAAGCTTTAGCTTTCAGGCAGATGATCCTACATTTGAGTCTAGAATACTTCGGTATACAGAAGAGATCGTGTTCGACTCAATGACAACGTGGTGTACAGGTGCTGTGAGTGCAAACAACCCAAACCATCACCCCCACCACCACCGTGGTGTGCTTGACAGTTGAAATGAGGTGTTGATATGAACACAGGGCGGTGCTGATATGCTGTGTTTGGTTTGCTTCAAATATGGTGGTGTGCATTATGGCCAAACATCTTCACTTTGGTCTTGTCTTTCCAAAACTCTTCTGCTTTGTTCAGAAGCAACTTTGCTGCCGTGTACTTTATGGGGAGAAGAGGCTTTCTCTTGGCAGAGTCAGTCAAACAAATAATACTTATTCAGTCTTTATCTGATTGTGCTATCATTAACTTTAACATTTAACATGCTAACCGATGCCTGTAGAGCCTGACTGACTGCACTGTATCGTCAGACTTTGGAGTGAATTTGATGGGACATCCACTCCTGGGAAGATTGTGGCATTTGGTTGACATACAGCTGAATGCTGCAGACTAGCAAACTACCCAAAATTCTGCTTTTTAAGAGTTTCTCACATTTATTGATGATTGATTTATTGATCAAATGCACTTAATTACACGCACCTGGCACATACTCTCCCTCTTATCTACTATGAAAGCAGTAAGGCTGCAAAATTCCATAAAAACTTGCTTTTTCACATGACTCCCAAAGAGTTCCCCAAAACTCTTAAACCCCAAAAGATGCTGTTAAACAGGTATGAGTGATCTTAACAATAAACGATAATGAAACAATAAATAAAGACTCATCAGTTACATTTACAAATGATATGACAATTTTCAACAAAGTCCTACAGACCTATCCTTGTAACAGTTGTGCTTCAGTCAGTGTAATTTTTTAATGATTTCAGTGATTGAGTTTAAAGAATTTACTGAAAGATCATGAGAAAATGTGTGTAACATATTATATGTTTATATATAAACACATTAAAAACGAGAAGTCCCACGTTTATTTTATTATGTGTGCTTTAGTGTTAAGCATATTAAGTGTATATTTCTGTTTTTACTATAGAACAATATGGTAATTGATTTCTTGACTAAAAAATTAATATTTATATGATAAATAATTGAAATGGTAATAGAGTTGCAATAATTAGTAATTTAATTACCGTTTTGTAAAAACCAGATAATGAATTACTTAATATTTGCTAACCAAACATGTGTTTCTGTGTCCCTCCAGGCTCACTCAGCAGTACGTCTACCCCCAGACGTTCCTCCAGCCCAGCCTGCTGCTCCATTCTCACCTCAGCCCGACAGCAGCGGCTCTCACCTCCCCTTACCTAGACTACAGCCCCACCTACACGCCCTATGCCTCCACAGGACTGGAGCAGTACCCCTACACCCCATCGCCGTCACCCTCCGCTGGCTACCTCAGCTACACCTTCTCCCCCAGTACGCCAGCGCCCACTATCACAGCATCACCAACCCCTCCGGCTGCCATCCATCCTCCCCTAGCTGCACTCACTGCTGTGTCTGCTGCACCGCAGGCCTTCCTCCACTACCCTCTGCACCAGCCAGACCGCATGCAGTGAGCAGCTCTGAGCATGGCTGCAGCTGCTGACTTGATGATTCGAAACAGCGTGACTGTTGACTCGTGACATCATCAGGATGAGACTAGAAGTGGAAGAGAGTGTGATATAATCAAAAGGGCTTCTCAAGAGCACTCTAGTTCCTGTTTTTTTATTATTATTGTTGTTGTAATAGTTAAAGAAAACGTTCTATTACTATTGTCATCAGCATACACTCTGAATGTTTTTCATCAGTGGCAGCACTCAGAGACTGGAATTAGACGACTGGTAATTTTCTGGATGTTTCTCTTGCTGCTGAGTTCGGAGGCAGTCTGACTTCGGGGTAAAGACAACGAGAAAATATGTTTGACATGATGCTGTGGCTGCAGTTTTTCCAAAGGTACTGAGCTGAATGCTGGGCTCTAGCCAAGCTGGGAGTCAGTTCCTCCTTCAGAAACACAGCTCCAATTACCTCCTCTTCAAGGTTAACTTTCTGTCTATGGCCTTAGAGATCTGTCTCTGTACTTAGTTCATTTTGTCATTTTTATTAGTCTCACATGTGAAACAAACAAAATGTTTATTGTGTTCCCTTTTGTTCGTTTTCTCCACTGCTGGCAATTTGTTATGTAGTAATTACCACAGAATATGCAATATTAATGACAGAGGTGGAACATTAATAAGGTAGACAACACTGGTGTAATATTTTTGTGTAATGCTACTGCTAGATTGTCACTCTGAGATCAACTTTCTTAACACTTCAAGCATATTAGCCATCACATGAAGTTCCTGTAGCTGCTTTGTAGGCTTTCTCAACTTTTGCAGCAAAAGCATCCTCGGAGTCGGTCTTTATTCAGTTACTTAGGTGTCAATACAGATCAGGTAAATGTATTTGGATGTGGATGTCCAAAAGTGTGTGTATGTCCATGTTTGGTCTCTGTGAGTGTCAGCGAGTGAGAGACATACGGTATAATGCAGTATATGCTGGTGTCAGGTCTGAGCTTCTTTTCTAGCCTCTTGTACTGATCAGAGTTGTTTCTTTGTTTTTGTTTTTTCCTCGAATGCAGAAATCAGAGAGATTCTTTAGTCGTGATACTGCAGTTTCCTGGTGCCGCCGCATCATCTTAGTAGTCTTAAAACAAGCCATACATCACATCTTAAACAAATATGCAAAAATAAAATGAATATTTCTAAATGAGATGTGCTATCTTTTTCTTAAGCAGGTCAAATCTGAGTACTTCTGGACAGTACATACACCAGCAGCATGGAAAATTTACATTTCATTATGTCATTGAGCTGCTTTACACTGGTGAACTGGAAACCCGCTGAAGGCAATAGATTTTACAAATATGTTAATTGCCTTTCTTACAATGAAAAATCATCAACCTTGACCAGCCAATCACAGCCAGTAGAGCCACTAAACAACACATTATGTCTTGCTTGTTTAGCTACATTTGGCCTCAAGAAAGCCTGCCCTTTTCTCCTTCTTTGGTTCTCAGTGTTAAACTAAGCATTTACTTTATATTTACTGCACAGCACTGATGTGTTTTGTTTAATGATCCAAAAGACCAGTGGTTCTCAAACTGTGGCACACAGAGGAAGAAAATATGGAATAAAATGAATATAATGTGACTTCAGTCGAGAAAGCAAAGAGGAATTTCTGACTTTTACTTCACTAAACTTTAACTTGTATGATTTGCTGTATTGTTAATGATTGATACTATTAAGGTGGTCAAGGAGGTTGTGGATCTGGTATGTTTACTCTGAAAATAACCTTTTTAAAAAGCAATGTAAGAATTACAGTAAGAGAATTATATTTTACAAGAGGTGGGTCTTGACTTGAAGGTGATCAGGAGGTAAATCCAGGATCAAGGAATATTTGGTGGCATTCTTTGCCATTGCAAAAGAAAAATAATAAAATAATATTCTCAAAGAGACATATCAATGACATATCAGTGCCCTTTTTTGAAGACATTGACTTGACATTCTTAAGAAAATATCCATACTTAATTCTCCATCTATAAACAGTAAGCTAACTCAGCTCCATGGAGTACCCCACCTCTCACTCCATGACAGCGAGGACAACTCTAGAGGATGGATGGATTTATTTAGATTAAATGTTAAATTGGGGGATTTCCTTTTATCACTCCAGCAGCAGGATTTAGTATGTTGTGTGTGCAGCAGTTCTTCTTAAAGAAGGGACTGCTCACAGTAGTGATGCGGCTTAATAAAGTGCCAAATCTCTGAAAAAGGTTGAGTCTGTAAATACTGTAGTTTATCAGCTGTAATCTACAATAAAAGCTTTAACCATGTTTCTTATCAAACTCAAGCAATAGTCCTGATGTGGGGTTGATCCTGTCTTACCCAAAAGACACTCCCTTAATCTAAAGCAATATGTCACTCAAGCCACACCCACACAAAACGAGAGCCCACTCTGAATGTTTGTCGTTTATGATTTTGAGTCTATGAGTCTAATTTTAGATGTGAGACTATCCCATGTGCTCTTTATGCCCTCTTCTGGCCAAGATTATTTATTACAACTCACACTTCCTCTTGCATTCATTTAAATTGCATTCATAACATTTAAAGGCGAAAAAAGCAAAGATGAGCCGACCCTCGTATCAAGTTTTTTTTATGTTTATTTTCATTGAAATTCTTATTGAAACGCTTTGTGCTCCCAGTTAAGGATCAAATAATAAAAGGAGACTCAATGTAAAACTCGCACAGCCGATCAGCAGACCTACTCTTGAAGTCTGGGATACAACATTTGCTTTGGATTGCGCTGATTCAGAACAAAAAAGCAGATGGTTTATGTAAAAATGAATATCATACCAAATAGCACAGTGAAGGCGGAGGAGAAATGGTAATGTCTTAAAAAGTGGGGACAAAAAATGAGCACAATCAGTGGTTACGAAACATGAGAGCGGTAAAACGAAATAAAAAGTACTGTATGTGCGATCTCGGTCGCACACGTACACACATAAACGCACTCACTTGCAAATACACCCAAACGTACAGGCGCAGGCGCACACAAAGGCACACACTCACTCTCACGCACACACTTGCGCGCACACACAAACACAAACCCACAGATAAATTGTAGTGATTGAAAATAATGAAACCCTGGTTAAATCTAATGGTATCATACATCCACGTCTTGTGTGGGAAGTGCAGAAAACAAAACAAAAAATAAACTAAAATGGAGAAAGAAAGAAAAAAGAATTCTTGTGAATAATGAAAAGCATGCCCATCTTCACTGGTCTAACCCAACTTGAAACGACCACAAACCCAGAAGTGCTGCCCTCTCTATCCACCCCTCTACTCCACCCCCACCTGCCCCATGCTCTCTTATCCCTTTCACATATCATTCCCACATCCCCGCCTCACCTCCGTCCTACCCCCCAGTCTCCTCCCCTCCTCAAATTTCTCTGCTGGAGTTAAGGGGTTTCCACACGTTTCTGCATTGCAGATCAAAAGCCTGCCTGGGAGGAGGAAAGAGGCGGGCAGGAAGAGACGGGGCGGCTACTGGTTCAATCTCTGGTCACCATTTATGAAAACACAAAGTCCAGTTCAGAATACAGAGAGATGACTGGGTGTAGAGGAGTGTTGTTGTGTGTTGAGGTTAAAGGTGATTGACCTGCATGTTTTTAGAGTGGCACCGGAAAATGTTGTTAGGTGTTAGTCTACACGTGAGTTGTCTGGGTTAGTTTTGTGTCTGTGTGTGTGTATGTGAAGGCACTGGGTGGGGGCAGTGGAGGTGGGGTTGGTGTAGCTCAGGGCCTTGTCCCTCATCCCTCGGCCCCAGTCAGAGAAGGGGAGAAGGGGCAGGTTTATAGGGCTTGTGTCTTGAGCTCGATGGGTTCCCCGCGGGTGTCCTGCTGGGTCTCGTTCTCGGGAGGTCGACTGCCCTTCAGTGTGGCCAGACGCTCGGACAGACCCCTCATGCGTGGGAACAGCATGAAATCATACAGGAGGGCCCCCATGGCACCTCCTATCATAGGCCCGACCCAGTACACCTGTAAGCAGCAAAGTTAATATTTATCAGCGGTTGAGTCACTTATGAGACCTCTTAAAACAGAAGGAAGGTGAGGGAAGATCGATCGTTTCAGGTCTTACCCAGTGGTTGATAAAGTTTCTGAAGATCACAGCAGGGGCAAAGGACCTGGCAGGGTTCATTCCAGCACCCGTGTAGTACATCTGAAACACAAGCACGTTTCTAATATTTACACTTCCGTATGCATGCATTTAACACTAGATTATATGCTAAGACCGTGTGTCTTTACCCCCATGAGATGTCCGATGGTAACAGAGAAGCCAATGGAGAGGGCAGCCGATCCGAGACGTCCGTTTCTCCTCTCATCAGTCACGGCGAAGATGCAGATGACAAGCTGCATGGTGAGGAAGACCTCCACAGTGGTGGCCATCCCCAGGCTGATGCCAGGCTGCAGCTGGAAATACACAAATATGATAAAAGGTGATATTTGGGCCGAGAGGTGCAGTGAATGAATGCATTTCATTTGAATCCAACCATGGTTTCATATCTTACCACATTAAACCTGAATTGGTAGTACAAACTCTAAACCAAAAAGGATTTCCCAACATTGCTACACTTATTTCCTGAAACATCCCTCTTTGGTCTTTACCGTGTTCATTGCCATGTTGCCTCTCATGTTGCCTGGTGTGACCCCATACAGCACAGCAGCCCCGGCTACAGCACCCAGGCACTGGGCAGCAATGTAGAAAATGGCTCGGAAAAGAGACATCTGTGAGCCGACAAGGTAGGCAAAAGTGACGGCAGGGTTGATGTGGCCGCCGCTGATGTGGCCGATGGACTGGATGAGGGTAGCGGCTGCCAGCCCAAAGCACAGGGCCACGTGAAGGACATGATGAGGCCCAGTGGTCCAGCGCAGGGCAGCGCCCATGCCAAAGAACACAAAAAACATGGTCCCGAAGAACTCGGCAAAAACTGCCCGCCAAAAATTCATAGACCGGAACTCCCACATGGTGACGGTTGAGGCTCTCCACCAGATGAAGAGGATTCTTCAAAAATAAATCTAGAAAAGGTCAAATGTGTACCTTTTCAATCCTCTTCAGATATCAAAAACTTTAAAAAAGAGTCTCCCTTTTGTAGTCAGCTCACTAAGCTGACCAAACACAGCTGGAAAGTCAGTTTAAAGACAAAACAGGATTTCAGAACGTCAACAGACGAATCCACTCAACAGATCTTTTACCAGACTGGGTTGGTAAAGTCAACTCAGCTGCATTCGCTTGCCACCTCTGTCCACCTGTCCAAAGACATAGGTGTGAGATAATGTGGGAGTGTGGGAGGAGATCTCAGGTGGAATGGGATGTCAAGAAGAGGTGGGCATCAATGCTAAAGGGGTGTTTCTAAAAAGAGACGGGGATAGATAGCGTCCAGTGGACCTTTTAGCCTCTCTGACGGAGGGGAGAGGGCCAGACGGGCGCTTTATAATACCCCCCCAGGGGCCCCAGGTGACGCCATAATCCCCCTGTAGGGCCAAGGGCGGGGGGCAGCAGTGCTGGACATCCTAAATCAAACAAACTTAACCCCTCTGTCTCCCCCCACATAACAGTGTATGGCCAAAAGAGATGTAGCATATCTAAGAGGAAAAAAATATGAAGTGAAAATGAGTGAGAAATTATTCTTTTTTAGAGTGAGGTAGTAACATTTTGCAGGAAAAAAGTCACAAGAGAGTGTATTCATCTTTAGAAGGAGTCAAAAATGACAGAGGAAAGAGTTGCAGTGAAGAGCAGGTTATGCTGAGTTTTCTTTCGGGAGTATGTCATCTGTTGATGTATCATAACTTTCATTATCAGGGGACACGCATGCTGATAGATTAGGGCAGAAAACACACACATGTATGCACAAAAACACACATGCACACATTCAAATAATACAGTTGGGGCCCCCGGACGGAAGTGCCCAAAGCTAACAGTGCTGGCCTGACCGATACACTGAAATGCCTGACCCTGTGAAACCATTGTCTGTAACAAGCATCTGGGCTACGTATGGACAGAGATAAGACAAAAATACATATTAAACTGAAGCACAAGTAACAACAGCTGGCAAAGCATTTTCTCAAATTTGCAAAGCTTAGTGCCAAAATGCATGTTTAAATTTGCAGCTTCTGTTTATTGGCGTGCACATAATTAATCCTGCCTGTGAGAATCAGTGATCTTTAATTGGCATTAAGCATTGCAGAGGCCTGGAAGTGTGAGCACTTTAACCTGAACTTGACACCGCCTCAGGGTTCAGTGTGCACTGACACCGCCCCACAACCAGCGCCATTTGGTGGCGCTAGAAAATATTGGAGAAACATGTTAATCTGGCTGATGTGTGCAAAGAAGGGGCGAAAGCAGCAATGCAGAGAGAAAACAGTGAATCAAGCAGCAAACCAACAATAATTCACACAACGCAGCAGATTGTGCCTTCTGTTGTGACAGGAGCTTCGAGGAGGTGCTTAGCAGAGGTTTGCAGTATGTGAGGCTGTGATGCAGGAGGACGTACGACCAAAGCCCTGAACGTTCTCAGTGTGTGCGCGAGGTTGGGAAAAGGGGAGAAGGGCAGCGGGGATGCGGGGGAACGATGGGGTTACTGTGCAGCACCGGGGCGTCACGCCGACCAGCCGAGCGACATCACTGGTGGAGGAGTGTGTATGCGTGCGCATGTGTGTGTGTGTAGCTGGGGCGTGATGAATGCAGATAGCTGAGCTTGCCGTTTTAACTCCCTTTTATACATGTTAGAAAGAACACACACAATGCAAAATGCTGGCAGCACAGTGGCAGTTATAGCTATTGTGCATGCTGTATGTGTGTCTGCGAGTGTATGTGCGCATGCTGCATGCAAATTTAAGAGTGTGTGTGCATGTGTATGAAAATTACACACATCAACACAGAAAGTATACAATAAATGGTTCGATTTTTTTTATTTAATATCAATTTTAAAGGGTTAGTTCGTCCAAATTCTTTACATATAATTTGTTGTTGATTGTACAATGCCTGTGACTTAAGACAAACTAAAGCAAATTATCAGTAAAGAGCAACTTTTTTCTATTTCAACTGAACATTTAAACTGCAAACACGTAAAACACATTTTAATGCGAGGCAAAAGATAAAGGCGCGTACACCCACGCACAAATATGTTTAAAGGTTTCATCAAAGTATTGTCTCTCACCCACATACACGCGTATGCTCAGCGTTTCCATTTCAAATTACAAAGCGTGTTGTGACTGAAGGTGTTCTTTCTGTAGAGCCATTACAGAGGAATGAAGGTCCATTTGATTGTGAATAGGAGACCTCAGAGAAGAGATAGACGCTAACAGGCACAGACATGAGAGAGATGCTGGATGAGAGCGTCATTGAACCCACGGTGCAGGCTAAGGACCTCTTTAGCATTTCAAAGCATTCGCAAACACAAGATGCAACTGAAACATAAGGGTGTTTTCAGCAGGATTTCAATGAGTCTCTGTTAGAATTATAATGACATGCAAATGTGAAAGTGAATACTGAATCTCACAGTATTGGCTACACTTTTGCATACACTAATGACAGACAACAAGGACCTCAAAGGTCACATCCACTCCTTTTAAAATTCAGCTTCTACATGAAATTCTCCCCCACGCGCATTGAAAAAAGGGGGAAAAATAAAAATTATCGTGTGCTTGTAATGCACCAGCAGAAGGTGAGAATTGCAACCCTCCCTTTGTTGCCTCATTATCACATGTGGGTTTTTTATTAGCTTTGGTTCTTTGAAAACATAAAACATTAGCTGCATACGTCCCAAAAACTGTGTTACTCTGAAGAGGAAATGGGAAGTTTTGCCATTTACAAAAGAAAAGCTGGGTTTTATCTCCATATCACACAGTCTGGGCTTTTTTTCTCCATCCCACTCATGTCTTATAGCTTTTTGTTAGTATTACTACTGCTAGTGTTCTCAAATTTAGGAATAAGATTGTATTTTTACCTAATTTTACTGCGTCACTGCAACTTTAAGACATTTCTGTTTTGTGCCATGAGGCCTGCAATAAAGTTTTTTTCACGTACTCTGAGCATTGGAAACAAGTTGTGAACACTGAGATTTCATCATCTTTTATACAGTAAATGCATAACTTTAACATGTACACATCTGGGGGTCATATTTCTGTCTTTCTGGTAAGTCTAAGTCTAACAATCATTCTCTTTTGTCTCTGTTTTTGGTCTCCATTAACTTATGAGGGGATATATCTGCTAACTAAGCACTCCATTGTGTGAATTAGTGAGTCGCTATCTGTGCCTGATTGCTGTTTTTAAGATAGTTTGTAAGGTTTCTAGAGCATTTTGCTTTTTAAATCTGCAAACAACTCTCTCCTGTGACAAAAGGGAGAAATCAGAGTCCTATTTTGTGAAATTAGACAAAATAAATATGAAAAACTTACTTCTGAGTAAGTCAAAAGTTTTACATACCCAACTAAACACTTTGAGATAATACCCCAAAGTGTGGCGTAAACAAGCTTCCATAAACTTCAAACTGTGACTTGTACATTAAGATGATCTTCTTTAGAATAAAATTTGGCATTTGAATGTATAAATCGTACATTTGTACACTCATTTGTAACATGGAAAGATTGGAATATTTCCAATATTTATATTTTTGAATCACCTTCATGAAATTAGCCCCAGAATGACTGGAAACTGAAGCTCTTCAAATGTAAGGAGAGCTGCACATTTATGTGATAATTCTCTGTGAATCAAATTTAGCGACTGCTATTCAGTAAAAAGTCCAAGTACATGTTTTAAGCTGCAGTTAATTTCCATCTTGTGCTAGGTCTTCGTTCAAAATCAAATTAATCTTGTAACTGTAGCTAACTTAGTCTTTGGCCAGCTCGTAAAACAAGAATTGACCAAATATAACACGAACCTCCAAAAAACAAGCGTACTTAGGATGAGATCTTTCAGCTGAAAATTCAGTTTTCCCAGAAATCCGAACAGTGAAGTATCTCATTGAAATTCATTTTCTGGGCATTTTTGGTTGAGGATGTTTTATTATCCTACACTAAGAGAGAAATACTGTGCTTTGTGCTTCGTACCGTTTTATGACAGTTGTTGTTGAACTGTTTGCTAACCTGATTCCAAAAAATGATGTGTTTTTGTGCAGAAATCTTCCAAAATATTTACTAAAAGCAGAACGATTATACTAATACTATATCGTATTATATTCCATGATTTTTTTGTTATTTATGGGAGAGTTTCTCAAATATTAGTGTTTTTATTTTCGATACTTGTTGAGTATGTTTTAGCTGATACAACTGAATTTTTTAAAGTACTTTTAATTGTAATGATACACATTTTACCGTATAGTGATAGAGATAGGGCCTCATTTTTCTTTTATTGTGTTGAAACTTGCGAGTAATCACTGCTTGTTTTTGCTTTTTATTTTTGTTAGGTTGTACATGTAGACCTGCTAGTTTTAAAAATTGTTTAGACAGATGGTCAAACAATATCAGACATATAAATATTAAAAATAAATAAATAAAAGTGACTATTTGTGAAAGTAAATAGTAATTATATCCCATTGTGGTGCATTTTGGTGCGCCAACACTCAAAACCTGGGTATTAAGCCATCAGTCTTGCAGTTAGTAGACGGGTCTCTGTATGGCCACAGTCAAACTGCAATTCGTGAGTTAAACTGCTTCTTTATCAGGATGTTACGATTGCTATTAGATGACATTAAACTCTAAATGGTCGAGCACTCCTGTCTGCTTTTGTATATTACAGCATGTCATGTGAGATAAATTACATCCTTTCACACACCTTCTTTCTTTTCTTTTGTCCCCATCACCATTTACTTTGATGGTGTGTACACCAGTGCATCTTTTAAAAAATCGCTGTTGCACAGAGTGCGCTTTTTTGGTACATGTCTCTTCAGTTGTTTTCCTGCTTGCTGGCCTGCTTGGCTCTCATGGCATTCTGCGTGACTGTAGACAGCGACGATCCGGTCATGCTTGCCGTCTCCACGATCTCGATGTCCTTACAGGTCAAACAGGCCACCAGCTTCTGACGAGAGGCGCTGCGTGCAAAGAAGAAGTCATGGGACATCCCTGCCAGTATGGCGCCGAGCACCGGCCCGATCCAGTAAACCTGCAGGTGGGCAAAAGTGAGGTATGTGAGTTTTCATGGTAACTAAATGATCTAAGACAAATAGAGGAATCCATTAAACTGAAGTACTGTTAGATTTGACATTATCACCTCCACCAGTGAGGTTATGTGATTGATCTGGCTTGTTTGTCTGTTTTTAAAAAGATTACTCCGAAAGTTTTTGACACGTCTGCATGAGGACCAGAGATGGGGACCGCCCTGAATTCCATGGATCAGTTCATTGTTGTAGTTGATTAAGTTTGAGCTACTTTTAGCTGTTTTATCCACCCTGTAGTTTGGTCTCATCACAAGATAGATCTTAAATATGCTGAGCTGATTAACAGAAGAAATTTTTTTTTAAAAAATACAATAAAATTCTGCAAATGTTCCTTTCTTTCTTTAAATGTCTAATTTTTATCTTATGATGTTTAAAAACAAAAATATCTCCTATGAAACAACTTAAAGACACATGAAATGTCACCATTCTTTATTACAAACAAAAACCTTTTAAAATATGTGACCATGTTATAAGAGCTTAATCTGAAAAGAAAAAAATAACAATAGCAATCAATAGTAAGAAGTTAAATATTTGTCTTTATAGTGTAGCAAAAAATCAAAATCAGAAAATAAGTTCTTCAAAATGAACCCATGTGAATGTAAATTTTGTTGACTTTACTTATGTTGCACTAAAAATCATGTCTTCATAACTTTTGTACACTGACCAAAAATCTGTGTTTAAAAAAAAGATTTGGATTTTGGATTTCTGTCTCACCCAGTGGTCTTCCCAGAAGCCTGTGATGATGGCCGGACCCAGCGAGCGGGCGGGATTCATACTCGCGCCAGAGAACCGAGCCTGAAGAAAAACAAACAACATCACAATAAGGCTTTTTGTTTTTCTACATGAGGATAATGTAGCTTTAAGATTTAAAGACATATATCATAATAATTAAAGTTTAAAAAATGTTATGGCAGAAGGAACACAACAACCACTCAGGTCTTTTGCTTAAATAAAAGTGATTTTAAATAACATAAAAAACACTTCTGAAGTTATTTAATGTATAAGTTGGTAAAAAGTGCAATGGGTTCTTTATTTAACACCTTAAATAAAATCAAATGTTGATTTAAAAGCACACTTCCTCGTGTCGATTATATTTTAGTTCCGTTTTTCTCTGGTTTGGTTGTTTTTTGTTGCTCTTCTTTAAAATTGATCACACTTCCTGTAAAACTAGTTCCACTCACATATTTAACTGGGAGATCTTTTTTCTGTGTCAGTGTGACAGAAAGCAACAAAAGCTCCAGATTATGTATATTGAGAAATGCAACCCAGAGTGGCTGTAGCAGTGGGGGGGGGGGGGGGGGAAATAATACAAATAATACACTATAGGCATAAAAGAAGCTCATCTCACCCCTATCAGCACACCAGCAGTGTGTGCTAGTCCAATGGCCAGGTTTCCTGGTTCTGGGCTCTCCCTCCTTCGCTGGTCCTCCACCGAGAAGACGGTGAAGACCATCTGGAAGGTGCACAAGACCTCAATGCCCAGAGCCTTGGCTGCATTCAGCTCTAAAGGTACCTGGGTGAGGTGCGAGAAGAGTAAAAACATATTCTAGAAAGATGCAAATGATTGTTAGAATTTTTTTAAATGGCACACATACGTTCTAGGAACTGACCCTGTTGACAAAGTGCTCTGCTGTGGTTTTAAACGGCAGGGCCAGGTACAGGGCCCCAGCTCCTAAGGAGGCCCCCAAACACTGAGCGATGATATAAACGAGGGCCCGGAGAACATCAAGCCGCCGTGTGGCCAACAGAGCCAGAGTCACAGCAGGGTTCACCTGAGCAGGAACACAAGCACACACTGGCATATAAAACTATAGAAATCATAAACAGCTCGGTGGTCTCACGGTTCTCTACTTTAATGTTTATTGTAATAGATCAAATCAATGATCGCCAAACGTTAAAGTGCAAAAAGGAAATATGAATTTATGCAGGGTTGTTTTTTCCTTTCTTGTAACATTTATACTCTCTTACATTTATCAAATGTCCCTTTGGAGAGGAGACAACCCCCGAGGTTGAAACCGCTGAACTAAAACTACCTAATAGTATATATAATTATATAATTAACTAATTATGAGTACATTTTTTAACAAATGAGCAATTTCGAAATGAGGATGTTTAAATGCAGGACTTTTACTTGAAGCATTTTTTTACATTGTCGCATTCGTACTTCTATTCACTTAAATGAACTACTTTGAAGTACTTTGAAAGCGTTTCTGTCAAGTTCAGTTCAGAAAGAAAAATGAAAAACAACATGTTAAAATGACATAATTACCTGTGCCCCACTTATTTCTCCAAAACAGTGTCCCAGTGCTACAATCACCACACCCACTGCCACCGCTGGATACAGGGGTCCTCCAGGGGCATCTCCAGGGCCTGGCACAGAGGCACCCAGCACAGCGCTCACCAACACCAGGGTGCCGAGGAGCTCTGCCAGCATGGCGTGCCAGAATTGCCGACTACGTAGCTCCTCATAGAAAAGGGATGTAAACAAGTTGGGCTTTAGCTACTCCTCTAAATATATTGTTACATTTTTAGGTAAATAAAAGCAGAACACAGGTAAAAAAATAAAAAAATAAAAAAATAAATAAAGATTTTAATCATCAGAGCATGATGAACATGTAATCTCTATGCTGCAAATGATATTTATCCATATTTTTCTTTCAAAATATGTCTTAAAAACACTCTCAACGTAACCAGCTTAATGTTGTTTTAATCCATTTAGTTATAAAATTACTGATTATATTTAAATGTTAATATTCTGTACGCAAAGCCTAATAATAAAGAGACATTTTTTACTAAAATAGACAAGATTTAAACTCCATCCCATGTAAATTATAACACATTTAAACATTAATACATTAACCTAACATGCTTACCTCACGCCACGTCATTTCAAACCCAACAAGTAGGTTTATTCAGGCAGTTTTCTGGTGGTCGGTCTCTCTGTGTGTCTCTGTGTAACTGGTGGTCTCTGAGGACTTCAAGGTTCCTGCTACCTCCCTGATTAACCTGAGTGTGCGAGAGGTCCTTTGATGAGAACAGCCTCCTCCCTCTCTCTCTCTCTCTCCTCCTCGCCCTCTCCTTCTAGTGCACATCAGGCGTTATCAAGTAATTCACACACATCAGTCCATTTGCATACTTTACTCCTAAACATTCACTGACCTTCACTACTGTAAAAAAAATCTTCAAAGAACTATGAGAAGCATTTCATGGATTTTCTAACTGGAGTCACTTTGGCCAGTATAGAGAGGACAGTTTCCAGATAACTCACATTCACAGCTAGTTCATGTATCGTGTAGTGGTTTAGAAGGCAAAAGACCCACTGGTTTGATCCCAGGAGGAGACCCAGATGCCTGGCATAAGAAAGCTGTCAAATCAAACATGCAGTGCTACCTGCTGTGGCAACCCATTTATATTCAGTTTATATCTTAACATGAAATGCAGACCCAGGAGGCTAGATTGCCTTCAAAGACAGGGGGGAAAAAATTAATAGTCCTGAAGACAAATTGAACTAAACTTTAAGTCTATTTAAGTCACATGTTTCTTTATTATGGACATATACCATGAAAAGTGCAAAACAGAGGTGGTAAAAATCGGACCGGAGGGCCATAACAAACCTGCAAACAGTCCCAATCCAGTCCACTGGATTCACAGCAGAGTGAAAGTTTTGCAGGAAAGTATTAAATATTTATCAATAAATTATTAAAAATGAATCATTCAGTTTTGAAAATTAGTTTAATCATAAAGTAAAATACTGTTCATTTTTAGTTCTCCAAACTTTAATGACACTATAAAGTGAATGTGAAAGGTTGAAACCATTCAATGAAAAAAAAAATTATATATTATAAACAGTATGAGAAATAAATCATAAATTTGTGACCACTTTCTTTTTTTTTTTGTCATGTATTGATTTATGGGCAATATTAATGTAATGTTGACCTGCAGACTAGGCAGGCCACAAATTCACAGAGTTATGGGATCAAAAGCCGAATCCTCTGGCACAGATATTTAACTGATGATTCCCAACCCCTCTAGTGCCAGGAAATGTTTTTAATCCCATAGGCTGTGGGTTTTCCAAAAAGCAAATCTATTCGCTGGTTTATTAGTTGGTTTGTTTTGCTCACAGGCAAATTGTGAATCCCACCTGAAAGCACGACCTGCTTCCTTACTCAGAGCTGCAGCTTTCTAAATAAACTTCATGTTGCATCATGTAAGACTTGAAACTAACTCCTGAGACCTAAAAAGACATTGTTAAGGTATTTACTAAGGATATGGACAACGGAAATGAAAGGCTGTTTTATCTGTAAAAATTACTTTTATACAACCAGACTTCTTTTTGTAACCAGAGTTGCCCCCTGCTGGCCATTTGAGGAACTCACTTGGCTACACCTTTCACACCTGAAACCTATATCTAGCTTATAAATTTAAATATTTGTGTGTTTTATATTTATCTTGAAAGTAAAAACACTGACATCATTATTATGTGTTTATGATAATTAGAAAAGAGCCATTTCTGTTACGATGACCATGGTACCATTGTCACTGTCACCATCTCAGCATGCTAACATTAGCGCTCCTTTTACAAAGCACATTTTAAAAGGGCTGGCTGGTATGGCTGTTTCCTTATTAAATTACATTTGTGCAACAGCATGACAGATACATTCAACAGTGGAAAAATTACCACAGGATAAAGTTGTTTTTGTTCCTGCTTTCTCCTGTTGGATGACCTGCGTTAGCGTGTTCTGAGCACCTGAAAAACAGACGTTCAGCCTTTATATCAGTTATAGAAAGAGCCAATTAGTGACAAGAGCACCAAGAAAACACCAAAACCTTAGGCTGTTGGTGTATGCACTGCATTTGTTCAGTGGATAAATATGTGATAAAAGCTTTTCCTCCTGGAAGGAAATTTGGGTTTCAACAGGCTCCAATGTGAAGCAGAGGGACTCTTTCCATCTTATGCAGCAGCATACTTACAGGTTAAAGGTGCAAACAAATGCCTGCTGTTTTGTTGACACTTTACCCAAAGATCTCAGATTTGATGTCGGCAGGCTCAGGGTTTTTTCCCCCTCCTCTACATACTACTTGTGAGGTACCGCTCTGATCACCATGGGGACAAACCCTTTCATGATGCTGTTGCCATAGAACCTATTGAGATGCTGCGTCTATGCACTCTTTTCATTTTCGCTCTTTGATATGAAACACACACCAAAGCAGACAGAATTCTTTGGTTTACGTCAAAACTCAGATTAATCACCTCTCTGACGCTTGTTTTCTTTCTTTCTTTTTCTAACATGTTATTTTTTTTTAGTTGTTTTTCATTTAGAGTATCTAAATGTTTGGAGTCCAATCTGATTTTCCTGATACCTCCAAGCATCAAAAGCCTTCAAATCTAGCAGAGTGAGTCCAGAATGAACTGGTTGGGCAGGTGGGGAGGAGGACTGCTGGTGTGCCCCATTATGTTGTGGATTACCCCCTCCTCCCTACAGCAACTGTGTAACTGTTATCCCCCCTTTTGTGGGGATAAGCCCAAATTTGTGGAGCAGGACGGGCGGAGGGCGCACTGGAACCCGCTGGCGTGGGGAGTTTTCAACCCCCCGCCCATACTGCTGACACTGACACAATTTCACATACACACCCGCATATACACGCTCATACAAAGTGCAAGCTAAGGGATTTGGGAGTGAGGGGTAATGGGAAGAGATGCTCTAGGAGACACGATATACACATTTTTACATTTTAACTTTACCACACACATATTTTTGTCTTTAGATGCTTCCCAGATGAAAGTGTAGAATATCAATCTTTGCAAGCAAGTGTTCACTGAACTCGGATCTTTTCTATTGCAGAGCAGCTGGGCCTGATGGCAGGATGTTTTCAACAGCATGTGCTTCAGACAGGACTCTCCAGGGAGCTGCACAGTCCTGCAAGAAAACACTTCGCCACACTTCGGCGGTTTCAAGCCCTTCTTCACTCTTATATTGCATGTGCTCCTTGTATGTACACACAAAAGAGAGCAGGATTTACGCTTTTTTCCCCCTGTTTGTTTGGCTAATCCCCAATATTTAAGTAATCCTGATATGGGCAAACCTTTCAGCACACTCTCAAAGAAATTAGAAACACTGGTGTCAAAGTTACAGTTAAAGTAACTAAAGTGGTGATACAGAAATGTTTTGATTCCACCAAAAACATACCACATATTTCAAATATGAAACCTTCAACTGTGTGCTGATGTGTGGTATCAGGAAATCTACAAGGAAATAAATCCATCCAGCGTTTATATTATCTGCTTAGCTTTCTGTGAATGGTTGAGTCAGAGGGGAAGCAGTTGTTTGGCATTAAAGGTTATTTATATGCATTCAGGAGTGTAGAGATGGTCAAGATGACCTGCTGAAGTTCAAAATGAGCATTGAATTTGGAAGATGCGCAATTTAAGCGATCTTATGGTTTTTAGTACAAGATGATCCGAGTACGTCTGAGATTTACAGAGAATTGTCTACAACGGAGAGAATATCCAGCGAGCGGCAGTTCTCCGGGTGAAAATGTCTTGGTGATGTCAGTGGAGAATGCCAGACTGCTTGCTTTAACGTTTAACGAAAAATGTTTTTTGGTTGGATGAGTCTCAGTTTTCGCTGCAACATTCGGATGGTATCATCATGTCAACATGGAGCAAAATCTCTTTCGTTCTGAAGTCAAAGCGGGTACAACCCAAAAGCAGCGCTTTCCCCAAGTATTACAGCAAAGATATTCAGCAACGGTTTGAAAAATATGAAGATTACAATTTAAAAATGTATTTTCAATCGAACATTAGCAGGATTTACTAGAACTAACCCAAACCAGCAACCCACGTTTGAAACCACAGGTCATCCCTGAAGGATCGTTGTCCACAGAGATGTTTTGTCAGGATGAGAGTTTACAAGATGGATGGTTTTAAGATTGGAGCTGTATACCCAACTGCTCGAGTAGAACATATAATAGTTTTTCTATTGAACTTTGCAAGCAGAACCTTTAAAACTTTCAGTTAAATAGCCAGTTACTAGGTAGTTTTTCCAGATTAGGATAAAACTGAAGCACCTGAAGGAAATCGAACAACTGCGGAGTGGGAGACGGACAGAGAAGAGATGCAAGCATCCAGATATAAAGCTCCGTGGAGAAAGGGCAAAACAGAAATACAGAAATAAGTACTTTCTACTAGATGTGGTTCTTTATTCAACTCACAGTACATTCTACAGATGCACACGTGTTACATCACCTTAATACAACAGAGTCTTGTAATACCTCCTCTTAAAAATGATGAATTGGTCCTAAAAATATAAAGGAACAAATTTAAAGTCACCAAAACTGTACATTATTAAAAAGTCACTTAACACCACATTTGGTTTTTGTCCTTTTTTTTGTTGTTTTTTGAAAAAAAAACAAAAAAAACCCCACTGTCCCTTTAAGTGTAATAGGGAACATCCACGTTTATTTCCTATCAGCGGTGTTGAGTTCAGTGTAAGAAACAAGTTTAAATAAAACCCAGACTGTGGAGTCATCCTGTCGCCTTCATAGCACACCAACCATGCCGTGCAACATTGTACATTGGCCCGTGTACAGCACAAAAAATATGTATCAATAAAAGGAATGTAAGGTTGAAACCCAGGCAGCACTGTGCCCAGCACTTCATCGTCAGCTCCTTTGCAATTCTAGTCTTTAAAAAGAGAGGATTTTAGCCTACTGTAGCCTTTCAGAGGTGTTCGTGTGGTCAGACGAGCTACAGAAAAACGTGTGTGTGTGAGAGAACTGCAGGTCTGAAGCTTTAATACACTCCTGTCAATCTTGATTACAGTGTAAAAGCAAACTTTCATTGTGTGTTCTCGCAAACGGACTATTTAATAAGTGCTTAAAATTACAGTGCCATCCTTTTGGTTGCACACAGTCAGAGACACAGATCAGGTGTAGCTAGCTGAATATTTACTCTTATCACACAGGAAAGTGAAATAAATAGTCTACGACTGACCGACCAACACTAAAAATCCTCCAGTTCCGGAAACCAGTGTCTTTCACACAGCAGCAGGAGATGGGTGTGTGTCTGTGTGTTTGTGTGGGACTGTGTGCATGTTTGTGTGTGGTGGTGGAAAAGTGTTTCACGTGTGCGTGCAAGACTTTAAGTGGAGGTTATACAACGTCTACTCATGACAGTCCAGAAACAGATTCCTTTTAGTTTAACTGGCCTTTTCATAAATCATCTAGACATCTCTATAAGGTAATCTGTACACATTCACTACAAGCTATTGCTATTAAATAATCCCAGCTATTGTAATCTTTATATATATTTATATATAGAATATATAATAAAAATATATTGAGCAAAAAAATTACTTCTAGGCATAAGACCACGTTACATTACATTTCCAATGAACAGGTAAGAAATGGCCCAAGCTCTGAAGAGTTTCGATACGTTTAGTCATTGAGTGGTGGCTAAGCAGGTCCAGTATCCAGCATGATGGCTGCAATAGTGTGATCGGTCCCTGACCTTCAGGGTGAGTCTGAGGGCCAAAATACTCAGGGCCTGAGACCGCGTCATCAACCCACAGCGGGGCTTGACCAAAGGCCTTGCTACGACATGGGGCTCACGTGAAAGGACATGACAGGAGAACGCTAACAAAAATGAGGTGCTGAGGTGAAGATGCGGAGACACGGAACAATGGAAGGTGAACAGAGACTCGTTCTCGCTATCTGCGATGGGGAATGGGTACAAGTTCAACCCAGTTCAGCTTTGGGCCCTTAGAAAAAGGTTAGGCCGGTAGAGGAAACAATAACAGACAAATAGCCAAAATCTATACATATATACCTTTACAGAGAATACACATAGCTGGAAGAAACTCCAGACAGTCTTAGCAGTAATGGAGAGTGTGTGACTGGGACGGTGAAAGCACCAACAGTCTACAGCCCCACCATCAGCGGGGATCGTCGTAGGCTCCTATTTCTCCTTATTTGAGTAGAACTCCGCCCAGCGGCTCTCAAAGAAACGCCTCATCGAATGTCCTGCCATTCCCACCTCTGACGTGTCTTCATTGAAGAGCTCACAGTTGTTGAAGACCAACTGAGCATCTGCTGCAAATTCCTCGCAGCTGAGGTACCTGAGATGAGGATAAACAGGCAGAGAAGCTTAGAACAAGGGACAAATGACTGGCAGGGATTAAAAATGTCTGAAAAATCCAAATCATTGAACTGTATAAAGTAAGAGCAGTTGATCTAACATCATTGTGATCTAAAGACTCTTGTGCTTTTCCATTCAGTTCTCATATAAGAGAGCGAGAGAGAGAAAGACTACCCCCCCCCCTCCCCACTGCAATGCAGTGAACCCTACGCTTCTTTGCATTAATGAGACGTGCAGCATAATCAGCACTTACCCTCCTTGTAACAGTCTTTCTCTCATGGTGAGGAAGTCCATGGGGTTCTTGATGATTCGGCGGTAACCTGGCACCAGTCGGGGATTGACAGGTTCAAGGAATGGCCAGGCGTCTGCATGAGCCTCCATCTCCATTAGAATGATCCTGGCAGGAATTTTTTTTAAGAGTATTAACACGAATCCCCCGCAATGTAGCTGTCAAAACATCTCAGAAGACTTTAAAATCATATCATGCAGAGCTGGTGCACTCATGGCAGGTGGGACTCACTCGCAGAAGGTGAGGTCGGGTTGGTTGCGTGTTGTCATGCGGCGCCGTTTAGCGCTGCTTCCTTCTCCGGAGTGACGAGAAGATGAGGGAGGTGTCGTCACGTCTTTGTGCCGTGTCGTCATTCCGCCACTGCGTCGTGTTGTCACCTCGTCCTCGGAGCTGTCGTCTTCGTAACGTCTCTTCTTCACCCTGGTGCGCTTTTTGGACAAGCGCAGTGAATCGTCTTCATCCTACAAAAAAGGAGAATATTTCTTAAAACGAAGCAATTTCAGGGATACGATCTTAAGATTGAAAAACGGCTCAAAGTGTTATGACGTCAAGAGTGAGAAGAGGAGTTCTCACCTTAGCGACACAAGTGGGACAAAACCAGTCTCCCTCTGGAATCTGGGTGATTTTAGGCCGCAAGCAGTACATGTGGCAGCCACGATCGCAGCCGTCGCACAGCAGCAGGCACTCATCATTGTCTCCCTTCTTGCAAACTTGGCAGGTCTTTAAAAAAAAAAGAAAAAGAAAGAAAAGAGAGAAGCATTTATCCCATAAAGGTTAGAAACCTTAGGAGTTTGAGAAGAATTTAGTGAAATTAAGTCCAACCAGGCATTTCTAAGATTTCTTACCACTTTAGTCACAGATCTCTCCCAAGCAATGGCCTTTTCCAACTGAAGTAAACACAGACACAGCTGGGGAGCACTACGGCAGCGGTCTAAAGCCTGACGCCATGTCCGCAGTCGAGACGTGATTTCACTTTCCAGACTGGAACAGAAGAAAATTAGTTAACCCCAAAAAAAGAAAAAAAAAAAAAGTGTACCATATGAAATGTAGGATTCATTTATCCCATTTAGTCCAGGTTGTTTTTCTCACCTGATGACATCCATGGGATGCTCCTCTCCAGGTGTGGGAGTGAGAGGAGCGAGGCGCATCACTTCTGCGGGGTTCCAGAGCGGCTCCTTCAGGTAGCGTCTCTCGATGTTTCGCTCGAGGTTGGCTAGCCGCAGCACGCCCAGGTCCAGCGGGTGTGTGGCGATTCGCGGCAAGCCAGACCACTCCTTCTTGGTTCGCACGATCCAGTCGTCACGTGGGTCAGCGTCATGTTCGTAGTATTGGAGGTCATCGCGTGTGGAGTCTGGATCTGGGATTGTGTAGGGCTTAAAGGAGACAGAGATAGGAGGAATTTAAGTATCAGTGACTGACTTTAACACACATCGGGTTTCAACAGAGGAAATGTGTTATCAGTGTTTTAAGGTTTACCTGAAATTCGGCCATTGGTGCGTCTGTGGTTGTTTCAGCATCGGTCATAGCGCTCTGAGGAAGTGCCTTGAAAAAACAAAATAAAATAAGTTTTACTACAAAAAATTTAAAAAAAATCTACATGCACATTTGTTGTAACTTAGATACTTTTCTTGTTGCCATTTAAAGTTTACGCATATTCAAACCTAAAGCTGCATCCTGGAGCATTGTATGAATTCTTTGACAGCAGAGACACACACAAAGCAGGGATATCGAGGTCTGCAGAGGATATGAACTTCTTGTGCAAACATTTCCTGCTTTTATTTTCTTTAAATCACATTAATTCACTCCTGTTAAAGCTTTAAGAATACAGAGTGGTTCTGTTTTATTGTGTGGTTTTAGTTGTGATTTTCTACCTTCAAATGGAGGTCAGCAGCAATAACCCGCTGTTCCAGGTCCTCCACCCACTGTAGTGCGCTGATGTCTGTCTCCACTGTTTTCTCCTGCACTTGCCAGGGCTGCTGCAGAGCCTCTAGCAGAGCATCCTTCTCTTCTACCTTCAACTCAAAGATTGGGTCTAATTGGATGAGAAAATCTTAATGAGAACAAATATGGCACAATTATGGGAAAGCTCATAATGATCCAGTTAACAACATTCACCGTTAATCGGTTTGGTGCATATCTCGGCCAAGCTCTCCATGTGTTTGGCTAAATGCTTATGGAGCACCTTCTCCCTGATGCCTCTTGGATGGAGGGACTGCAAGGTGATAAACAGTTCCTCTGGGGTCTTGATCCACCACCAGCCACGCACCATTGCTGGAGGGGGGAAAGAAAAAGAAGCAAAATTAAACACATTAAACAAGTGAAAAAAGAAACCAAAAACACAGGAAGAGTATGTCACCCCAGAAAACAGTGAAGGCCACAGAAATCTTCATGCATATTTATGGAATTCAAATAATTTCTGAGGTAAAACTGATACATTTCAGTACTTACATGCTGGGATAGGCTTGACCACTAGCTGTGTGAAGTACTGCTGTTCAAGCTCCTGGAAAACTGAGTTTGGTGGGCGGCCGCGGCGTTTTGCTGCAGCTCCACGGGGCCCTCTGCGGGCAGGACTGCTCCCTCTGCTGCCTCTCCTTCGCCTGCGAGCTGGTCTGGCAGGTGTGGCAGGAGTGGATGGAGCTGGAAGATTGGGAGTTGGAAGGAGCTGAGGGTTTGTTGGTGGAGAACTGGCTGGGACAGCACAACCAGGGCCTGTAGGTGGAATGTCCTGTAGTGCTGGTGGTGCTGGAACCACAGGGTCAGCAGGAGGTAGGCAAGGCAAAAGTGGGTCCGGCTAAGAAGGAGGAGATTATTGATTTTTACATTATACAGACTGTGCATTGTTGTAATATTTACTATCATCATTCTGGTGGCTAACCTGCACGAGTGGAGCAGTAAGTGCAGACAGAGCACTCGGGATCTGCGGGAGAAGTTTGGGGGGTGAGCTGGGTGAAGTGGGCGTCTGGAGCTCAGTCAGAGAGTTATCATCACACGGTTGTTTGGGGAGCAGGTTGAACCACTGTCCTTGCTTCTCTGCCATCTCTTTAACACTCTCCTCCGGTCGATTACCCTCTGGAGCTTCCCCTGCTGATGAGCATGTGCCATTCATCACTGCTTCCTGTGATTGGCTGAGCCAGCTCTGGAAAGCCGCTTGTGTGAGGTCTTGTGTCCCGCTATTTGGTGATCCTGGCCCTTCCTCACTCCGGGACCTGACGCTACTTCTACGCCGGCGGCGGATTTTTGCTGTGCGGAGGTGAAGCTCAACTTCAGGTTTGATTTTCCGGGGACGTCCGCGTCCTCTCGGCCTGCTCATGAGGGATGCAGTGCCCGGGAGGGGATCCTCCTCCTCCGCAGAGAAGGTCTGGGCCTGGCCTGGGGTCGCAGAAGTCGGAGAGGAAGGCAGAGTAGGAGGAGGAGTGGTTGGTAAGGGAGCTTCCTCAACTTTGGGCTCCTTTTTGGGCTCTTTTTTAAGGAAGGTGACAGGCACCTCCGCTATAAGGACTTCTCCAGAAGCTACAAGATAGAACAGTAAGGAAATGCTGAAGTAACGACAGACAAGTCAAGGGTTTATAAAGCATAAATATTCGAGTTTAGACTCAGACTTACTCAGCAGCTCTTCAGGGCCCTCGACGAGAACTCCTCCAAGGTGAGGTAGGGCCAAATATCTGCGCCGGTAACGGTCCTGCCCCAGCAGTATGGCCCGCATGGAATGAGATGACTGTAGCAGCTTTTTACGGAAAAACGCTTGGCGCTGTGGAGGATTAAGAGCAAAGGAATATTTAATATTAAGCAACAAACATGTATACAGCACTGTGCCTGTGTCATATCAGCTTTACCTTAGTTAGCTTATCTATCTGCCTTTCAAGCTCTGGAATGCTAGCATTGGTAGGGCTCTCGCTCTGCAGCAAAGAAGGAGTTCAATTAGTCTCAAGTGCATGCATGATCGTGCTGTAGTTAAAACAGTAGAGCTGAAACATACATCACTGAGTTTGGGTTCTTCTTTGCGTGCACGGCGGTTCCCTCTCTCAAGGATTACACCACTCTCCTCCAGGCTGAGGTTCTCCTCCTCAGCTACTCTTGCACTACGCCTCCTCTCCTCAAAACACAGCTCTTCCTCTGAGCGTCCTGTACGACGTGATAGCACCGCCTTCAGCCTGGCAGGAGGAAAACAAGTCCAACATTTAATACTGCTTGGATAAGTAGCAGAACTGAAAATAAGCGTTTAAGAACATTGATCTTACTTTCGGAGTTTCCCCTCAATGATCCACTTGTTCTTCCTGTAGGTTGTCATATTCTCCACTGTGTTGTCAATATCACTGAAATTTAAAACAAACACTGATCTTACTATTTCTTGAGTAAACTCTCCCTTTAAGCAGTCTTAGAACAAGTAATCATCTTGAACATACTTGATCACAGTGTTACTGCTGTTAAGCTCTTCCACAAGGAAACCCAGGATGGCTGCCTTGGTGTCAGGAGGCAGGGCGTGAAATGGTTTGGTTCTCAGGGTGTTGCACACTTCTGTCTCATAGCCATGAGCTTCCAAAAAAATGCGAAGTACTTCTGAAACTGTGCTGCGGCTCAGCTCCAACTCAACCAGCTTTTCCCCAAGGATCTTTACCGACTGGAGATTAAAGAAAAACTCAGACTAACGGGTTTCCGCCACATACCAAATGGGGGTACATTAATAAGCAGAATGCTTGAAGTGTATCACACACACCTGATAATACGATGGTAGGCCTGGATCATGTAGTGCAGCCTCCACCAGCTTTATCAGTAGATCCTGCAGCTCTCCTTGGCTGTCACCCAGGCCCAGGAGGCCTTCCTGCAGGGTAGCAAGGCTGGGGATGTCCTTGGGTATGTTGAGACCGATCACCTTTCCATACCCGTGTAAGAACTCTACCACAGCCAGACAGTGAGCAAAAGCTGTTCCAGAAAGCACCACACCAGGAATACGGGACAGCTCCGGGAGGGGCTATTGGAAACAAAGTTCAAAGGTCACAAAACATCAGTTTTTACATCAAAATTTAAAAAAAAAAACATTTTCTAAAAAGGGGGTTAAATTAAAACTCACTTTGTGATCAGTGAGACACATATCCTCTGTGGGCTTCTTCAGCTCTTCGGCTATCAACTGCTGCCTCTTCCGCTCCTCCATCCGTCGCTGGGCCTGTGCTCTCCGCTCTGCTGCCCTCTTAGCAGCCAGAACAGCCTGAGCTGCAGCCTCTGCCTCCGCCTGAGCTTTAGCCAGGGCCTTGGCTTTACTCCGAGCCCCCAGCACCCTCTTACCCTGGGCCACCCTTTCCGTGTCAGTCTGCTGAACCGGTGGGGTGGGCTCAACCTTAATTGACCTCCTCCGGCCGAGATTCTTAGGCTCTGCAGCAGACTCTGATGCCGGCTGTGAAGCCTGTGGCGCTGATGGGTCAGTTGGTTCAGCCTTTGCCTCTAGGTGCTGGGCCTCTTGCTCGAGCTAAAACAAAAATGAATAAAATAAAATAAAATAAGAAATAAACACAAAATGATGAAGAGGTGGAGGTGATAAAGATGTGCGTCTGAAGACACGAGTGTTAAGCATTTTTCTTTACCTTTGCTCTCTTTTTTTCATCTCTCATTTTCTTAATCTTTGCATCCTCCCTTCTTTTCATTCTTGCCTAAAAAAACAATAAATAAACGGCACCAACAAAATCAGGATGATAAATGAATAGTGTAACAGATCAGGATTACAATCAACTTGATCTACATACCTTTCTTTTCATTTTCTTTTTGATTTTAGCCAATTTCTCCTTTTCCTCCTCTGTGAGAGCTTCTATTTTTAAACACAGGGAATTAAAAATTATTTAGTCGCAGTAGAAAGAATGAGTTTATATAATGAGCAAAGACATTACGCACAACTTCTTTACTCACCCTTGGCTTCAAGTCGTTTAAGCAGCTTGGCATCAACCTTGCTAAGGAAATCAATCATCTTCGGTTTAGGAGGTCTACCGGGGCGACGGACCTGTCCTCCCTTTACCGCACGAACCCTGCGAGGTTTTTCTTTATCGGGATTTGGAGGTCGACCACGACGACCAGTGATGGCCATGATCATAGAGGGAACTTCCTCATTAGCCAGAAGGACCCACTTCACACCCTATAAAACACAGAGAAAACAGACTTTCAAAAACAATTTTCCTATATATTTTTTAAGCATTTTTAATACCTAAAGTTTAACTGTTGAGTATTTGAATACTTTATAGTTCTAATGTGAAAATATACAGACCTCGGGAGTTTCTCTCTCTTCGTAGAAGTCTCCAACAGGCATGCGTGGACTGAAGCTGAAGTGTTCTCGCGTGACCACACTGTCTGTGTGTTTCTTCAAGTACTGTGTCATTAAGTAATAAAGACACAGCCGGAGAAGCATGAGACAAAAATCCGAGTTTTAACATAATATAAAACCATAAATGAGAAGACCATGATTTTAAGAGTTTCAAATAACTTTTTAAGAATAATTAAAAAGTTCTGGGAAATTCACCTTGATAATTTCTGGAAACTGTTTCATCCTCCTTCCACAAGGAGTATAGTACCAAGTTTCGCCCTTCATCCGGTTCTCCATTTTCTTCACACGAATCTCTCTCTTCCAACTACAATTAAAACAGCATTGATCATTACAGTCTTGTCATACCTTTTTCCAACTAATTTAAGGATATTTTTGTAAACAACAAATATGAATTTATCATCTTTCCAGATATACGTCTGGTTTAGTTTGTTTACATCTAGGTTTCCATGGTATCACATTTGGCTAGCAAGGACAAAACCTCACTGAAAAATTGACATTGTTAATGAAGACGTTTTTATAATAATTTAACTTGACATCAGTTATTAAAGCTTCAGCAAAGATAAGCGTGCTCACTAAATCCAAATAGCGCTTCTGTCATGTGAATATTTGACTGTGTTGACTTAGAATTTTTTTTTATATGACGAGTTCTGACTGAATTTGTGTCGTGTAAAAGCTCAATAAACAGTAAAAGGAAACTTTACCCGTGCAGCAGAGGGAACTGGACCTGCTCCTCTGTTGCCACTCTTCGTCTGCCAGATTCACCTGTTCCAACAAACCAAAGGTTTACCATCAAACTCTTAAACAGTGACATCTTCTTTCAACAAAATGGCCTTTTCATTACCTGCAGTGGAGCTGTCGTCGTTTTCATCAGCATCATCACCAGCTGTTTCTGCATCTTGTTTCTTCACCCTTTTCATCTTCTTGGCTTTCTCGACTGTTGGGCTGATAGATGAAGCGTTGGCCAAAACAGCGTCAATCGTGGCTGTTATTGGATCAACCTCTTCTGTGGAAGGCCCAGCCTCCCCAGATGTTTCGTGCGCATCAACCTTTAGAGACTTCTTTCTCTTTCTGCCCTTAGCTGGCTCCACATTAGTCCCTTCCTGTTCGTTAGACTTCATTTTCTCCACCTTTGGGGTTCGACCCCGAGGCTTCGGCTGGACCTCCTCTGGAGCTGAACACAAAAGAGAAAAAAAATATTGTAAGGTAAAATCTAATACTATTAGAATAGCACTCTGTTGGAAGTCGACTGTTAAATACCTGCAGGTTTAATCCATATTGCCTTAGTAGTTCGAGGTTTGCGTGGTTTCCCTGGGGTTTTCAGATTTCCTCCGGCAGCTGGCAAAGTCTGATCAGTAACTTGTTGGAGTGGGTGTACAGCAGGGCTCTGTGCTGGGGTACTGAAGGCGATGAAGTTCTCATCTCTCATCTTGAAACTTGGTGGTGTCATTGTGTCATCAGCAGCGATTTTAGTATTAATGCCTCCAGATGAGTCTGGTGTATCATGTCCTCTGGGATCCCAGCCTGCTTCAGGTCCTGAGAATGAACAGAGCTCAAGACTAAGTAAGTGATGTTAGGCGTACAGTTCCAACAGAGAAAAGAATATTCTGATAAAGAATAATACTCTATTATTTAAACTGACAACTTCTTCCTGTCAAATGATGCCATACTAGTTTTAATGATCAGAAAAGAAATAACTGTACCTTGCTGAGATGACACAAACAAGTGTGTGTTGGACACATCACTCAAATCAACAGGAGGCTCTTCAGTCTGAGAGGTGTTGTCTAGAGAAGACTCCATCACTGATTCTCCTGTAATTTCGCAGCCGTTCCTGGTTTCTTCTGCTTCTGAGGTCTCTCCTTCCCTGGTGGAGTCTAATGTGTTGTCTCTGGAGTCTTCCACAGAAAAGCTGCTATCTACAGAGTTGTCAAATATACTAGATGGCTCCTCTTCTGCGCAGGAAGTGTTGTCAAACTGAGAATTGCCCTTTCTCACGTGAAAGCTGTTGTCAAAGTGAGTCGAGTCCTCTATCCATGAGCTATCACCGCCTAAAAGAGAGGTCTTTTCTAAAGTAGAGTCGACACTGATTCCAGAGGGGGTGTTGCAGGTTGAATTGCCGTCATACTGAGAGGCCGGATGCGAAGAGTTTGCAAAGCTTGTCCTGCTAAGGTATGGAGACTTTCTGAGAGGAGCTTGGTCTATCGTGCAGTCCTCTGCTGCCCAGACATCACTTGGCATGTGGTGATTTTCAGAATCTGTTTGCCCATTCTTGGGCTTTTGATCAGGAGCGAGTGTGGTTTGTAAAGTTTTCCCAGGAAGCTCAGAGAGGGATTTGGGTGGCTGACTTTCAGATTTATGACTCTCAGGTGCTTCCAGCTGTGGCATCCTTACCAGGCCTGAATCAAGCAAAGGGAGGTGTTCCTCTGCGTTTTCATTTCTTTTATCAGCTAGTGCTTTCCTGTCCTCACAATGGCCATGGTGCTCAGACTTGGAAGGTGACTGCTTTAGCACACGAGGAGGAGCGGTGTTAGGAGGATGTCGCTCAAGGTCAGAACTTTGGACCACTCCAGAAGATGTACCCGTTACAGGAGGAACAGACACCAAGGCAGGAGGGCTGGGTAGGGGTGCAGTCCTGGAGGCTTGAGTGGTTAGAAGAGGTAGGGTAGACAGAGGTCTCACTGTAGGACTTACATGGTCAGTGATCGAGGGCAAATTCATGCCCCCTGGTGGTGATGAAGCAATGGAAAGACCCAAATCAACAGCTTGAGGAGTGTATTTCTGACCCTGCAGTGTGAATGCTGGTTCACTGCCAACTAGAGGAGTTTTTTCCACTGAAGAGGGTGATGCAGATGGCAATGAGCAAGGGCCAGGTGGTGTCAAGGTTGAAGGTCCCAATAAAGACATCTGAGATGGAGCTAAACCGCCAGATAAGGAATTTGCAGCCACAGAGTCAGAAATCAGTTTTGGGGGTCCAGGCTTTTCATGTTGACCTCCAGATGCATCAGAGAAACGTGGTGGCATCAAAGGTGGCTTAGATTCTTGAACCATTTGCCTCTCAACCAACAAGCTGGGTTCAGAGTAAGTAGATGCAGACACTATGGAAGGAGGCGACTGTTGTACAGGAAGTCCAGAAACAGTTGCAGGCTTTTGATGAAATGCAGACTCCAATGATGAAGAGACTGAAGAAACTGCTGCAGGTCTAGACAAACTATCAGTCGAAGCAAGAGGTGTAGACAGCTTTGAAGGTGATACAGGAAGCGATGAGGTGGATGAAGACCCCACTAACAGATGCTTGAATCCTGCAGGTGATATATCACTCATGCCAGGAGGGGGAGGCCTGAGGCCTTGAACCATCAGGGGAGGAGAAGAGAGCCTGGGAGCAGCTGTTGGAGATGGGGCAAAGGATACACTGGGAGGTGTTGATATTTGTGGTGAAGTAGATTCTACATCAGGAGACGAAATTATAGTGGGTCCAGCCTCAGATGTAGGAGATCCAGAGAAAGCAGGAGCTGCAGACACCTGAGGTGGTGTTGAGGACTTGGTTAAAGAAACAGATGTATTTGCTGTAGCCACAGAGAGCTGCGACTGAGGAGGTGGGTTAACAGCTGGATCTCTGACTGGGGAAGACATTTCTGGGCGCTGAGCTGCTGGCTGTTCCGAAAGCTGACGATAATCACTCGGAGGACCCACATGAGCAGCAGGAGGTTTGGATTGGTGACTATCAGTCTTGGGTAGCCTCTGGGCAACAGGTGACCTATCACTGCCGTTGTAGCTTGTGTCTACCTCCCTGACAGTTTCCCTCGTATGCCCTAAAATAAGGAGGGGAAAAAAACATAGCAAAACTGTTAATATAATGCGAGATTGTTGTACACTGAAACACATGGTTTTTATTCTCATACTAAACATAGATAGTGAAAATAAAAAAAAAAATAATAATTTCGACTGATCAGACATTAAACATAGTCAAACATTGGCACCTGCTGGTTAAATAATGGCACTGTCCCCAATAATAAATAATGTCAACGAGTGACGTAATACTGAACACTGTATTAACTAAGACTGGAAATATTTTCTGTTTTATTATGAATTAAACACTTGATGATTTATTTATCCTTTTCCAGGAATTAAAAGGTGACTCATTAAATTGCAATATTTTGTCTAAATACATTTGGCTTTCTGATTACCAGGACAAAACATCAGCTGTTTCTGTTGGTCAAGTAATCAATTCACATTTAACAACTAACACAGTCTATCACAGTTATTTGTATCACTCAAAAGCTGGCATTAAAATGAGGAAATAGACTATACACAGATTGATTAAATTGATTGAAACTGCAAAAAACAAAAATATATTTAAGGGTCACCTTGCATTGGAGAGGACATCCCCACATTGCTAGAGTGGGGGCTCCGTTCCCTGCTGTGGCCCTTTGGAGATCCACTATCCTGCACAGCTGATGGTGACATCATTTGTGCTGAGGACATCCCCACGGGCAGAGGGCTGCCAGTGCTCCCTCTGCCTAAGCTGTGGTGCTGAGGGCTGCCACGTGGAGGAGTGAAATTCTGAGAAGCTGGAGGCATCATCTGAGCCTGGGCTTGTGGCTGAGTTTGCTGTTGTGGTGGCGGCTGCTGCTGCTGCTGCTGGGGTGATGACAGGGACGGGTGCTGATGCTGGTAATACGGCATCCCATTCGGCATCATGCCGTAATGCTGTGGTTGCTGGTGCTGCTGGTGGCGGTGGTGTGGGAGAGGCTGGGAGGAATGGAAGTGTTGTTGTGATGCCTGATGAGGGGTTGCCTGTAAGGACTGCTGCTGGTGATGCTGTGGTGGTGTAATCCCAGGATGTGCTTGACTCTGGTAGGTCCCATACATGCCATGGGAATTATAACTCATCTGCTGGGTGCCAGGGTTACTCCTGTTCCAGTACTGGTTCCCCGTGAGAGGCATGTTCGCTGGGCCTGAAACAGGGGCCTGATGGGAGCTTTCTATCCCCCCATTCAGCTGGTACTGTCCATGACCCTGGAACTGATGCTGTGACTGAGGCTGAACCATCCCAGGTGTAGACTGCTTCTGATGCATCCCATGCGCAGGAGAGTTGCTCACAGCTGGGCCATACTGAGGGTGCCCTCCCCACAAGTAGTCATAGCCCACGCTGCTCTGGTGGTGGTTGCTCAAGTGTGGATAAGGGGCCGATGGTGGGTGGGAACCAGGGACACTGGATCCGAGTACAGTAGTGACGCCATTCACATTCATTTCGCCATTCATATCTGTTAGTAAGAAATACAAGTTGAAAAAAAGCTATAATGGTAAAAATCTGTCTCTGAGTCACTGAGATCTGGGGCCTGTACTGCAAAGCAATTTCAACATACCCAAGACATCATTCCCTTATCTGGTTTCACACTTTGTCAATCAGGCTAAGTGGTCAATATGGTTACCAACTCCATAAATCAAGCCAGGGTTTCCCAATCTAGCTATGACCATGTGCACATTAAAAGGGTGACAATGGCAGCATTTGACCAATCATCCACAAATCTACTGAAGGTAGAGTACTGATGTTACAAAGGAATAAAATTAAAATATTAAAAAAAAACTATAAGGAGTTTTAACACATAATACAGACTGAAAGCAGTGTGTGGGCATGTGAGAGAGGAAAAGGATAGTATTACAATTGTTGTATGAACGTGTGCGGACTTTAAGTGATATAGTCAGTAAGACTGGAAAAGGCCCAGTATGCCAAAAACATCTGGCCTAACTGAAGCAAGAAAGAAAAGCTGGAAAAAATGCTGCGTAAGTTACCAGGCGTTTCAGTATTACAGTTCATTCAATGTCAAGATGTGCCTAAGACACTTCTAGCTTTCTCTTTCAACTGCAGCCCAAGTGATGTCAAGTGTTTTGAGAAGAAGGAAACAGCACACACACAAAAAGTTCAAACCGGTCAGGGTACTTTTTCCTACTTGTAGTTTGTGGAAATGTCATCAGTTTCATGGCTTAGGTGAGCACCGCATAAATATATTAAGGATAATATAACAATAAATATCATTGCAGGAAACAAAAAAACATCAGGAATGATAAAGTCTCACCTGAAGAAAAGGGAAATCTGAGTTTCTTAATTGATGTTCAGCAAATAAAAGCAAAAATTTCAGTTTCTAAAACCTCTAGGTCTTTTCTCCAAAGAAATGCTCTAGTGATGAATTCATATACCTGATGTTGTCTTATCTTGAACATAAACCGCTCTAGCAGGTGAGTTCTGCACTATAAGTTACCACGGTGATATATTCCAAGTTGAACAACAATCCTACCATTGAAAACCCAGGGTTTTAACCCTGTAGTTCTCAGTAAGAACTCAGTAAGCCCCCTAATCCCACTTTATGGTAAAGGCCACAATTTTTTTCTTTTATATATAAACAGTAAGGTTCATTTTATTCTAAGGTGCAGAAATACTCACTCTTCCCCTGCTGAGGAAAACTCATGGAGGACCCGTTAGTATAAAGAGAATCCCCTGAGGAGAGTTTCAGTCCTGAGTTTGCTGAAGAGTGAGTGCCATAGTTGAAATGATTATTTGAATCCATCTGAAAAACATCAAAAATAAATAAATAGTTAATTTATTAAATGTATTCATTCAGTCTGCTACCTAATGTTAGTCTACAGTATGACGTATGGAAGCGGTGCAGGTACTGAGCACGGATTAAATGTGTGAGAATCTGCATGACCAAATGGCTCTCAAACATATTATTTAATTCATTTTCGCTTCTTTTCGTGCACTTTTGAAGGCAGTCGACGCTACGTAATGCGTGCTATTTCTTCCACGAAATGTCTTTCCTCGGTGATTCTGGCAGCTGCGGCTTGTGACAGGCAGCACCATTTCGCTCCAACAACAACCGTCAAAATGTCGCAGCCAGCAACAGCAGATGCCAGGCCCTAGCGAGTGTAATGGACAAACGGGATATTACGATAGAAGCTCATCATTACCGCTGATGAGGCACTGCTGCTGCTAACACGAGCTCAGGCTCTTCAGGTCTACGGTGATAAATGTACGGCCCAGACACAAACAGTCTGAAGACCCGGCGGCCTCAGCTCAATAACAATGGGAGTGATAATATTTCACACCGTGAGGCCTGGATAATTGTTTTCTACGCCACTCTCCGTTTAAAGGCTGTCTGCAATGCATAAATAGCCCTCAGGACACTTGATTTCCTATTTCAGTAAGGCCGTTGCAATAGCAGGCGTTAGCTTGTCGCGCTAGCTGCGCTAACAAACGAACAAACCCCCATTTCTACCACTTGCGAGTCAACTGAGCTAACCATTGATAACGTTGGATACAAGTTCAACTCTTCAAAAAGCCATTCAGACAGTTTATTTTAACGTGAAATTCCGTGCGAAAACCCACCCCGCTCCAGTTCCAAGGTTATTTAGCTAAATCATCACAAAAGAGCCTAGCTAACATACGCTAGCCACGTAGCTAACTTAATAGCATCCTTTACGTTTATCCAGAGTAAGCGCTGCGATGTTAGCTCATAGCCGGGTAGCAGGTACCATAACCACGCTACGTTGGATCCATGATGCCCATCAGTGATAGAGAGCTCCGCGAACGAAATAAATATCCACCGGTCTGCCGGTAATGACCAACATCAACCCCCTCATCAGGCTCGCTAGTTAACAGATGGAGGCGTGCTCCCCTTTTGTTCACGGGCTAACGTTAGCTAGCAGCCAGATGAAGTTACATTGTTTACGCTGCGAGCACAGACAATTTTCACAGAGCATCACGATCCTCCCACACTTCCACCGTCCAAAGTTTCCCCGATATTTCTCTAAAAGCGTGTCCGACCTTTCAGTCCTCGGGTCCCGAAGGCGCAGGTGTCTCTAAACGTTCTTCTTAACGGATGTGCGGGTGAAGATGGCAAGGCGATAAATAATAAACAACTATTCCCCTAACCTTTGGGTTTTAAATTAGCAAACATGGCTGGTGTGGTCCGGTGCAGCCATGATCACAGAACAGAGCGAACAGGAGCAAATGTCCCAACAATAACTACGTATGCATCCGGTTACATTTGTTCACTAAATTTCACCCAAAAAAAAGTAAATAAATAAAACTAAACAAATAAAAAATAAACAAGGACATTAAACTATAAATACAAATAGATAAAAGCTCAAACTTAGCAATAATAATAATAATAATAATAACTATTATTATTGATAATTATAATAATATAGGAATTATTATTATTATTATTAGTCAATACTAACAATAGTATCTGCTATTACAAGTAAAAGAATTACCAACCAAATGCACGTAAAACATGAAAAATAGTTCCTTTTTATTATGAAGAATTATAATAATTTTATTGCATTATTATTACAGATGTCTAGAATTGAAGCAGCATTAAAGAGACAAAGTTAAAATAATTTACTACATAATTGCTATGGTTAATTGACATAAACACTTTCATACATATTTGGCCAGTTATCTTTTAGCTTTATCTCAATCTTTATCTTAATTGACATTCACTTGAAAAACAAAAAAGATTCAAAGATTATTAACTTTCAGCAAAGTAAGTTTTTAGAAGCTTTTTCCTCTCTTGACGTCGTACTTGTACCACAGTTTTTGTTATTGCAGAACTCTTTAGTGGGTTTTAATTCACTCATATGACTGCCATGTCTCTCTTTGTCTCTCATAAACGTTCTGTATATGAGAGCCACGCTTTTATTTTAATGCGCTTCAGGGTGAAAACAGGAAACTCATGTTGCTTATTACCGTCACCTTCTGCTGAATGACAATCAGTGAGAAATTCAGGCCCGAAGAGGAAGTATGCTAATATTCTGGGCCGAGGAGCCTGAAGGCTTCAGGGTCATAGCGCCGAAATACACGGGTAAAAGTTACAGTTACCCCAAATCCTACTCAAGTACAAATACTCCAGTACAAGGTAAATGACGTGTGGGCGTTTTGTATGTTAAAATGATGTAATTATGCGTATCCCATGCCGGCTGATCCCAATGCAATTCACTGATGCCCCCTAAAGGTCTTTTATAATATTTCTCTAGTTTAGGAAGCTTCACTGCCATCCACCTCCTTTTCTTTGCAGTAAATTATTTAGTGCATCATACACTCAGCAGTCATTTTATAGTTGAGCTTAAAATACACACTCACTAACTCCTTTGTTAGATATGTATAGCATCTCATTTTGCCTTCAGAACTGCTTTAATTGCAAAGATTCAGAAAGATGCTGGAAACATTTCTCTGGATTTTGCTCCATATTGACATGATAGGATCACAAAGTTACTGGAGATTTATTAGCTGCAAATGATGTGTGTCTCCCGTTTCATCACACCCCCAAAGTTCTCTACTGGACTGAGATCTGATGACTGTGTCATGTTCAAGAAACCAGTTTGAGATGATCTGAGCTTTGTGATATGACATGACAGTTAGTACAAAGGAGCCCAAAGTGTGCTATGAAAATGTCACCCACACCATTACACCACCGGTAGGGACCTGAGCTATTGACATAAGGCACGATGCATCCATGCTTTCATGATGTTTATGCCAAATTCTGACTGTCCCATCTGAATGTCATAGCAGGAATCAAGACTCATCAGACCAGGTAATGTTTTCCAGTCTTCTATTGTTCCGTTTTGATGAGCCCGTGGGGATTTTAGCCTCAGTTTCCTGTTCTTAGCTAACAGGAGTGGCAACCGTTGTGGTCTTCTGCTGCTACAGTCCATCTGTTTCTAACAGATGTGTTGTTTGTTCAAAGATGCTGTTCTACATTCCTTGGTTGTAACAAGTTGTTATTTGAGTAACTGTTGCGTTCCCATCAGCTCAAAGCAGACTAGCCATTCTCCTCTGACCTCTGGCATCAACAAAGCCATTTCACCCAGACAACTGCCACTGACTGGATATTTTCTTTTTGCCGGACCATCACCCAAGATGGTCTGGTGTAAGTTTGTTATAGCTAAAACAAAACAAAAAAACAAAACTAGATGTGAAAAAAAAAACCAAACATTTTCGATAGCTAAAATTAAATAAGAAAGAAATCTAACTGAAATTATTTTGTGAACTTGGAAAATTAACTAGTTTCAGTCTTTGTCAATTTGGTAAAACTTTGTTGTCACTTCTTGCCTGATGAGTCTTTGATGGAGGTGTTTGGTGAGACTTTGGTTTGCTGGAGGTCTACAGGACTGTGAGAGTTAACTGTGTTCAAAAGAAGTTCTACATTTTTATTGCAGTATCTTAACAGATTTTCCCAAATCTTGCCTCTCGTATATGTTCTCCATATAGTAATATCAAAAAAGAGATTAACTAATAAAAACTAAAGTAAAAGGAAAATTTTTCAATACAATAAAAACTGAACTGAAATGACAAAACCCAACCTTGAAACTAACACTCAACTAAAAGGAGAAAAAAAAAAAAGTCAAAACAAACTAAAATAAAAATTTGAAAATGCAAAACTACAACTGGTCTGGTTTGATGGTAAGATGGTTATGCAGAAGAATCCCTCGGACCAGCCTTTCTGACACTTAAATCCTCTCATTGTGAAGCTCAGTCTGGAGTTCAGCAGGCCATCCTGAGCATATCTACATTCCTGAATGCACTTAATTCCTGCCATGTGATTAGCTTATTGGACATTTGCATTAACAAGCAGTTAAACAGGTGTACCTAATAAAGTGGCAAGCAGATCAGCGAGACTGTCATAATTTATTTTCCCCGATGCATTTTCTTTTTGAAAAAATCTGATGCATTTATGAAATTTACCTCCTCCCCCAGTGGTCCCTCAAAATTAAACTCAGTCTACTATAGTTGGGCAAAAAACATTCACATTATAAACTTGACAGAGAATAATTGCATCATCCCTGCTGTATTCATTTGCATCCGATTCAAATAAGAGTCCAAATTTGCACAGCCTGAACTTCCAATGATTAGAAGTCGTCCCAAAACGCCAGTGATATTGGCAGGCTAACTCATTAACCCTGACACCTCATATCTAAGAAAACAAAAAGCATTTAAAAATGATTCTTCAACAGTTTATTAGAAAGATGTAGACAATAAAAAAAAGAATCCCCACTCTAATTCAACATTACTGGTCTCCCTTTACAGTTTATTGACAGTGCAAGTATAATTTGGTCATTACATGTCGCCGTATCGTTCAATCAAGCTGCATTTTTCAAGCCTCTTTACCAGCTGCAAAATATGTCAGCTCACTTGTGCAGTCTGACACAAGTGTGCACGTTCGGTGGTATAAAGACATAGTCCATATGTTGAATTCATTCAGATTAACAAAGTACAGTAGGTGATCACTGGGAAGATGCAAATATGCCTGGAATGAGTTCAGAAAATTCCAATTTTCTTTCTTCTTTTTTTTTTTTTTTTTTAAACGAGCATTAAACAAGAAGTAAAGGGAAACATGTAAGTTGGAAGGTTAAGCTACTGAAACAGTCTTCTTGGATCTCTAATTCACCGCACATGAGAGATGCTTGAAGAAGAACCCAATTGGTAAATTTGCCTAATTATTTTCTTAGAAAAAACAAAAACAAAAAATCATGAGAAACTACACTGGTCGACTACCTTAAAAACCACAACATTAGGAATGGTTGTGCCTAATCAGCTTTGAACCAATTCATTTGAAGACAGACTGTCAATCTCTTTAACACACATTGCTCAGTTGAGGACAACTATACAGTTTTTTTCCCTCCAACAAATAAGGTGTGCTTAGTTGTAATATTTAACAGTAAAACAAGATATCCAAAAGGTGCAGTACAGCAAATGGAAGTGGAGATAGCTGCTCTGTACAATACCATGCATATCAACCTTCAGTGAACTGATTGGTCAAAGGTTTGGAGCTGAGGCTATGGATTTAAATATGGCTACTGACTCATTATGTACAGTTGTTTGTCACTGCCTTCAGTTTCAAGATATACATTTGTTAATAGTCTTCTCTGTTCTGTTCTTCTGTTTTCTCTCCAGAGTTTTATGGTCTTCTACTCCAAATCTGGCATTTCTGAAAGCAAAGTGAAAAGGAGACATTAAAAGTTGATTGAAAATAAATAAATAAATAAATAAATACAGCTATAAGTGTAGATGCTACAGAAGCTCAAATACTTACTCTCATCGTCACTATCTGCAGATTCATCCTGAAAGAAAAAAAATAAGAGACCTGTGAAATCGATCTTAGGTTACGTCCACAACCTCTAGTGTCACCAATTAAAATCTCCCTTATCTATAAATATAAGATCAATCAAAGAGATAACTGAAGAGGAGGTCTTACATCATCTGCACCGTCTAGATCAGGTAGGTCATCCTCTCCTCCCATGTTGTTCATCATCTGAAATATAAGATTAGCAATTAAAGCCACATCATTTAAATGCCAACGAGTCGAAGACAGATTGATTTTTTTCCCCTTCTTCCTCATGAGATTAGATTTGAGGCATGCATTAATCAGTCAAAACAGTTTTGTTTTTTTTTTTAAAGCAGATCGATTACACTTATTCCAGCCCTTTATATGAAAATATACATGGTTCTATATTGTCTTGGACTCTACCAGAGTACTTTTGCACAATTTATATTCAAAATGATCATTCATATTAAAAAACACAACAAAAACAATGGGAAGTGGGTGAGTCCAGGGTTACTTTTCCCAACTTCTAGGTGCGCGACTGAAGCGAGTACCAATGAGAGCTGGGGATACTGCTGATTAATGTATGACAGGTTTGTAAATACTTTACAGGGTTACCTAGGCAAATGGAGCCTGGAATGTCCACTAGCAACCAACAGTGACAGACTGATACATTATGAGCAAATCGCTTCCTGGGTGGACGCCCTATATTTATTTAGACTTAACCTCTCAGTGAATTCATCAAGATTCAAGACTAGTTAAAAACAACTAAAACTGAGTATTTAGAGCAGTTTGAAGCTTTGATGTTTAACAAACAGGAGCAACCTGAAAATCTGCTGAGCTCATTATTTGAAACTTTGTTTAATATGACCATTTACCAGCATCCACCATTGTA